CGGGAGGGACCCCTCCATCCACCTCCGTCCAGAGGAGCAGAAATCTGAACGAGAGAATGAAGAGGCAAAAAGAAACAGGGAAGATGGCAGGACACAGCGGCGAGGGCAAATTTAAGGCACGAGAGTGTCACTATATTTTATTTTTCAAAGGAGGATTCTTTCAGCGTATTTTTATAGGGAATTTCTCTGCAGCAATTGATATTTCCCTCAGGGACACATCTTCTCTAGTGAAAACGTCGACATCGTGACCCGAGAGGGAGAAACTCCAAACAAACAACCAGGATTTAATTACCAGCCTTCTCGCTGGATGTAAATGATCTACGAAAAAGTATACAGTCCTCAGCAGAAGCAGCAAATATTAACCAGGGATGATGACCTCTCTGTTTAGTTTACTGCTGGAGGGCTGTCTCTGCTCCCTGTGGCTCCGGGCAGGACCCGTCACAGATAAGGAGCCGCGGATACCTTCGGTGAGGAGAGCATGACTCTCCCGGGCCTCATCCTGCTGCTCTGGGGCTGTATCCAGGGATGCTGGAGGCAGTGTTGGGGCTGGCCCCATGGCGGGAGCATCCTCAGGCCAAGATGTGGGGCACTGGAGAGGTTTTCCCGTGGCTGGTGATGCTGTGCTGTGGGTCCTGCACCACTCCAGGGCTGGAGAGGAGGGGTGGGAGCTCACACAGTGGCTTGTGTGTCCCTGCAGAGGTGACACCCACCAGTCCTGCACAAAGGAGCTGGCTGGAAATTGCTCCTTCCCACAGTTTTCCTTAAGAAAAAGCAGCTTCTGCAGACAGGGCTGCACGCCGCGCGCTTGCGCAGCCGAGACTGCGTATCGGGGCTGAAACACTGTTATCCTTCGCTTTTCGGTGATGGCGCTCCCGTTTTTCAGTCTGAAATGCTATTTCATTTCAAAACAATCTTTCTCTCAGATTCAAAAGAGATTTTAAAGCATAACAATATATTTCAAAGGGATTGAAACCAGATGGATCCCAAATTACTTGTTTGCCTCTTATTTTTTCAGAATGCTGTTTCACAAAAAAAAAAAAAATAATTCAATTGGGTTTCTGTCCCAACATGGGGTGCGTGTTTTTTCTCCAAATTCTCAAAATTTATCATCGGAAAGTTTCTCTCTTTTCTGGCCAACTCCAGCTTGTATGAGAGGATGGAAAATATCTGGAGGCAATGTCAAGGCATGCTGAGTTGCCATTTCCACATTGGCTTTCCCTGGTGTGAGCGAGTTTCCGCCTGCTTGTTCAGCCCTGGGAAATTTCCCTTTTGGCCCCAGACCCTCCTTGGCCGGCACATCCCGAGGGTCTCCAGGAGATGGGGATGCAGCTGAAGGAAGGTCTCGCGTCACCAAGGCCATGCAAGCCGAAGATGGCATTGCAACACCTCCTGGACCCTGTGGGTCCCCGAGCAGGCGGTTGTTTTCCCTGGGCATGGGCTGGAGGGCTGCACACTTCATCACATGGGCTTCATCACAGCCTTAATAGCGTTGGCTTGGCATGAGGGGCAGGAGCTGGCGGGGTGGTGTTCATCGCATTCCTCAGCCGAGGGGTTATTCATATTCAAATCTCCTGGTGGGAAGCAGGCAGGGTAATGGGAACAAGCCGGGAGAGGCTGTGGTCGAGACAGGGGCTGAGGGTTGGATTGGCAAGAGAAGGAGTTGGGGTCAATGCTGAAATGGTCCTGGGGAAAAGGAAGGGAGGGGCTTTCCAGGGAAAACCGTAGGGTTTTCCACAGGTATTACAGTGCTTGAAGGCAGGGGCATGGCTGTGCTTTAAAGAGATGCATACAGAGGCTGGTGAGCATGCTGTCATGACACCAGGGCACTCTGGTCCCCTCCTGTGGCCCTCTGGGCTCCGAGTCCAAGCAGTGCCTGGTACTGCAGGTCTGGAACCAGAGAGGGACCCTGGATGTCAAGGACAGGATTGAGCTTGTCCAAGCCAGCCCAGGGGACAGAAACACCATCCAAATTACAGCTGCTGCTTTCAGCTGATGCAAAACCAATGGGCAGGGACTCCTCTGGGGTCCCAGTACTCTCCCAGCAGCACAGCTCTCACATAGATGATGCCACCCGGATCAGCGTTTGGGCTGAGGGAGGAGGCGAGGGGGAGCATCTCAGGTACCAACAGCTCCGAGTGGAAATGGCACGGCCTGGGGCTGATTTTCACACCCCTTCTTCGGCACTCACGTCTTCACCCCACCTCCCAAACAGGCTCCTTCCCTGCATCCTCCCCTTGCATTCCTCAGCTCTTCCCTGCATCCCTGATGCTACCTGCTCTCTCAACATCTGCTTCAGATGGTGACCACAGGCAGGAGCGGGCAGACTTGAGTTCCCAAGTTCATTGTGCAGAAACCATTTAATTGCTTTGCTGCAGTAATGGCATCCCAGAGAGCTGGAGCAGTGGGAGTCAGACCTGCCATGGTCCGAGCATCTCCAGGATCACTCTTGGCTGCAGGTGAGGTGAACGCAGAGGGAATGGCTGGAAATTGATTTTTAGGACCAAGGCAGTGCAGGGCTGAGCAGAATGGGGCAGCCAGGGCTGCAGAGCTGCATCTTTGGGCTGTGCCCCATGGAGACACTGCTAAGCCCTGGCAGAGGACAGGATGGGCAAGCGCAGGCAGAGACCTGAGCTCTCAGGTGCCGGGCATCACTCCAAGCCCAGCCTGACCTCCCCCAGGAAAGCACGCGGGTTCTCCGGGCTCACAGACACCCACAGCCCCACACAGAGAATATTCAGAGGTGACCAGCGCTGGGGAGCACCCCAGGGACACGTCCAACTCCTGCATCATCCAAGTGCTCAGCAGAGCCCAGGGGGCAAGTGCTGAGCCCTGATAAGCCCTCACCTGCTCTTTCTGCTAACAGATTGAAGCTGAGGACCAGGAGCTGGCAACCTTCTGCGGCCGGGAGACGACAGACACGGAGCAGGCTCCTGGCCAGCAAGTGATCCTGTCCCCGGGGCCCTACATGGGACTTACGTTCAGATCTGACTTCTCCAATGAGGAACGCTTCACCGGCTTTGATGCCCATTACACTGCCGTGGGTAAGCTGCAGTTACGCCTGCAGGACCGGCTTGCCAGGGCAGAGTAATGCATTTGCTAGGGTCGCATCCCAGGCCAGCCCTGGGGACCCCAGTAAGAGAAGTCCTTATGTGCAGCCCTCAGGCCATGCGGGACTCACTGGGTGCTGGTGTGACCCACCACATGGGACAACTAATTTCTCAGCGTGGTGGCAAACGTCCCCACGAGGAGCGATGCGTAGGGGGCTGAAGGGTGACCTCCCTTCCTCGTTATCTCCATCCTAGATGTGGACGAGTGCCTGGAGAAGAGTGACGAGGAGCTGGCGTGTGACCACTACTGCCACAACTACATCGGCGGGTACTACTGCTCCTGCAGGTTCGGCTACATCCTCCACTCCGACAACAGGACCTGCAAAGGTACAGCCCAGGACGTGGGGACAGTCACACAGAGGGGTCCCAGAGCAGGCAACAGACCTACCAAACAAAGGCAAAACTGCCCTCTCTTGCTGCTGGGAGGGACAAGGTGTCTCTTCCCCTACAAACTAACAGCCTGGGACTGGAGAGTGCCCAAGGCCCGCAGTCCTCTTGTGTGGGAAGGAGATGTGGTTTCTCCCATGGGTTATGCTCCTCAGCTAAGCCATATAGACCTCATTAAGTCAGAGAAATGAAAAGGTTTAGTCTCTGCTCTGAATCTGCATCACATAGATTAGCTGGGATTAGCTCTCAGCCCAGGACCCTCTACGCATTAGGCATATTTGGAGATTGGCTGTGCCCTGTTCTCCTTGCCTGGACCAATATTTAGGGTCCATGGACCACCCAGCAGACCCTACTCCACTGGGAGGGCTTCTGAGTGTGTTCGGGGCTGGGATGTGGCTGGCAGGGGCCTGAGAGCACCACGGCTGTGTTTCAGTGGAGTGCAGTGACAACCTCTACACCCAGAGGAATGGGGTGGTCACCAGCGCCGACTTCCCCAGCCCCTACCCCAAGAGCTCGGACTGCCTGTACCGCATTGAGCTGGAGGAGGGTTTCTTCATCACCCTGAGCTTCGAGGACAGCTTCGATGTGGAAGACCACCCTGAGGTCACCTGTCCTTATGACTACATCAAGGTGAGCTGGGCTCTGCAGACTCCTCCTGTCCCGCTCTCCAGTTGCTCCTGGTGATGGGATCAAAATTGCCCCAGTCTAAAAGGGAGTGATGAAGCCAGCAGGAGCCCTGTGCTCAGTTGAACCCGTGTCTCCTACCACATCTGATTTTGACCTTCTCAGTCAATGGTCACCCTCTTTCAGTTCGCATGCCCGCAACACATGATGCTTAAACTCCACTGACCCAACTGCAGCCCATCCATCACCCTCAGGGTGAAGCAATCCTCAGGCCACCCGCTCTTGTTTCCGTTGGCAGATCAAAGCTGGCCGTAGGGAGTTTGGCCCTTTCTGTGGAGAGAAGTCCCCAGGACGCATTGAAACCCAAACCAACAGCGTACAGATCCTCTTCCACAGTGACAACTCGGGAGAGAACAGGGGCTGGAAGCTGTCGTACACAGCAACTGGTAACTCCTGCTGCTTTCCTCCGTTTGCTGGGCTTGGGCGATGGGAAGGGCTTTCAAAACCCTGCAGGTAGACACCATGAGTTTAGTAGTCCATCATCCTGTCTCCAGAAAGTGTCTGTCCCAGAAATCACAAGAGAGGAATAAAATAACATGGAGCACTTCCATCAAAGCGTGCTTTTTTTCTCTGTGCCAGAGGACTCTGAAACAAGACCACATTGCAAAGCAGTGCAGTTTTGGGCAGGATAATTGCAAAAGCTACAGTTATTAGCTCCCAGCCTTGTAATGCCCAAAGTCAGGCGAAGCCTGGGACTGGAGGAAAGACCTGGATCCTCCACTCCTTCTAGGAGAAGAGCCTGGCTGAGCCATATTAGTGTAGGTTAATAGCAAGAGTAGGGCAGGGATGCTCAGACTCTGCTACAGGGACTGGGTGGCAGAGCTGGGATGCTCCATTTCCTCCATTTACTCAGCTGAGTTTTGTTTTTCTTTGTTTGCTCTTTATTCAAAGGAAACCCATGCCCACTGGTGCAACCACCAATCAATGGGAAAATCGAGCCTTCCCAAGCCAAGTACACCTTCAAAGACCAGGTTGTCATCAGCTGCAACACCGGCTACAAAGTACTGAAGGTATGGAGTAACAGCATGGAGCTGGGCATGTGGGTAGGAAAGGGGGGATCCTTCCTCCCACAGCCATTGTGACTCTGAGAGAGCGAACGCAACGCACACACCACCCTTACCCCCTTCCCAAGGGCAAGGACAAAGCCTCCTCTGACAGCCACCAACTTTCCGTCCCAAAGATGCAGAGGAAGAGAGGAGAAGGCACTTTCCCGAGCCACCCTCTCCTCATGCCTCTGGAGCCAGCCAGCTCACAGGGTGCCAGACTTGGCACCTCTGCCAGAGATAAAGTCAGGAAAAGTCCCAGGGGAGCTGCCAGGACTCTGTCTGCTCCCCACCTTGGCGGGCACTGGCTCAGCTTCCCGGGCATCCTCGCAGAGGCCAGCCTCCACAGACCAGGCGGTCCTCTGGAACTTTGGGACAGCTGCGGCAATCAAGAGGGCCGGGATCTTGGCAGGCCCTCTCCAAGAAACAGCTGAGAACAACAGGGAGCACGGGTGACTCATGGAGTGTCTGTCTTCCCTCCAAACCAGTAGCCTGCTTTGACTTCCGACATGGAGCTGGGTATTTCTCTGATCTCCTCCCAGACTCATCCTTCATGCAGAGCTGCCTCCTTACCCAACCCAGCACCTAGAACAGGAATAAATGTCCCCAGCTCTTTTGCATTCAGCACGCCACTGAGTTGCTGGCAACAAGAAAACTCTTCAGGTTTTTCATTATGATTTTATTGCACTTCTAGCTAGAAAAGTCCTCTTGCAGGGGGGTCTGGCTGTATCTCGACTAAATCACCAAGAAATCAACTTTTTATGGAGAGACGAAATGTCCTTGCTTTGTACATTGACGGTGCTTTTTTGTTGGCATCTTCTGCACAGGATAACCTGGAAAGCGACTCCTTCCAGATCGAGTGTCTAAAGGACGGGACCTGGAGTAACAAGATCCCTATCTGCAAAAGTAAGGACACCCTTCCCCACCCTGCCTGTGT